TCCGCTCTGCTGCTCTGCTTGGTGTGTCCGCCTGTCTCGTCTGCCCGCCCGTCCGATTCCCTTCGCTAATCCGTGTCTGCCTCCAGCACGCCCTCCATTCAGACGAGACAGCGCGTTTATCACCGTCTGTCTGCCTTCTCCGGCCTGCTGCTCGCTGCTTCCCGCCTGACCGTGCCAGCCGGCCGCCGTCTCGCGCCTCTGTCGCCTCTCGCCTTTTCCAATCCCCTCCATCCGAAGCCCATGTCGTTTCTGCACCTCTAATCGCTTCCGTTTTCACCGTCTGGTACGGCTTCCTTTCCCTGGCCCGGCCTGTGCTGCCTGTCGGGCCTTGTCGGGTCGACCCAGGCTTCGATGCCTGGGGCCTCGTCGTGCGTGAAATCCGTGGTGAGAAAAAAAAAAGCGGTGTTGACGGTGCTGCTTGTTACAGGACGCCATGGCTGGTGAAGACGACGCTTTCCAGGCGGCCGCTGAGATCCTGAAGGGTCTCGCGCGCGAGGTTCCCGCGAGTGACGACTCTGAACCCTCCACCAATTCCGTGGCCACGAATGGCTTCGATCCCAAACAGGTCAAGTTGCCGGGTGAACCCAGTCCCGGCAAGACTGCTTTTGAGACCGAATTGCAGGCGCTGATCGGTCGAATCCACGACCTGGAAACTGAGCTGGTCAGTGACCCGCTTCCCTCTTTCTTTTGGTCTCCTTGGACAAATAGGCAAGCATGAAAGAGAGAAAAAAAAAAGGCATTCTGACAGGATTTCCTCTAGCAGCAGAATAAGAGGCCTCGCAGATCGCGTCGCTTAAAGCGGAAGTTCTCAAGGTCGGTGGAAGATGATGACTCGGACGATGACGATGACGATGATTCCGACGACTCGAGCGATGACGAGGAACTGGACCCGCGAACCCGCATCATGCGCGAGGAGGACATTAGCTATCTGCGCAACCACGTTCAGAAACAGGCCGAAGAGATCAGTGTCCAGAAGGATATCATTAACCGTGTCAGGGATGAGTTGCAACAGCAGGAAGAGCACACCCGGCGCACCTTGGTTAAGGTGGAGCACGAGGACGTCAAAGTGCTGGAGCGTGAACTACGCAAGCACCAGCAAGCCAATGAGGCCTTCCAGAAAGCTCTCCGGGAAATTGGTGGTATCATTACCCAGGTCGCCAACGGTGACCTGTCCATGAAGGTCCAGATCCATCCCATGGAGATGGACCCCGAAATCACGACGTTCAAACGGACCATCAACACCATGATGGATCAGCTCCAGGTTTTCGGAAGCGAAGTGTCTCGGGTTGCCCGTGAAGTCGGTACCGAAGGTATTCTTGGTGGTCAGGCCCAGATTACCGGCGTTCACGGAATCTGGAAGGAGCTCACGGAGAACGTCAACACAATGGCCAAGAATCTAACCGATCAAGTGCGAGAGATTGCTACCGTCACCACCGCAGTCGCACATGGTGACCTCAGCCAGAAGATCGAGAGTCGGGCCAAGGGTGAGATCTTTGAACTCCAGCAGACAATCAACACCATGGTGGACCAACTTCGCACTTTTGCAACGGAGGTGACGCGGGTCGCGCGTGATGTCGGTACCGAAGGTGTCCTGGGTGGACAGGCCCAGATCGAGGGCGTCCAAGGCATGTGGAACGAACTGACGGTCAACGTCAACGCCATGGCCATGAACTTAACGACCCAAGTGCGTGATATTGCCATGGTCACCAAGGCCGTCGCCAAGGGTGATTTGACGCAGAAAGTCCAGGCCAACTGCAAGGGAGAAATCCTCGAGCTGAAGAACATCATCAACAACATGGTCGACCAACTGAGACAGTTCGCCCAGGAGGTCACCAAGATCGCCAAGGAGGTCGGTACGGATGGTGTCCTCGGCGGTCAGGCAACGGTGCATGATGTCGAAGGCACTTGGAAGGATCTGACCGAGAACGTCAACCGGATGGCCAACAATCTCACCACCCAGGTCCGTGAGATCGCGGACGTGACCACGGCGGTCGCCAAAGGTGACCTGACCAAGAAGGTCACGGCCAACGTCCAGGGAGAGATACTCGACCTCAAGAACACCATCAATGACATGGTCGACCGACTGAATACCTTCGCCTTTGAGGTCAGCAAGGTGGCCCGAGAGGTCGGAACGGACGGCACGCTGGGTGGTCAAGG